CCATACAAATTCATGTTTTGAAAAGAAAAGGAAATGTTTTATGAAAATCAAGATTATGGAAATTTGGAATTAATCCTAAAAGTTAGATAAAGTTTTGGTTTATAATTAGATTTTTTCTTTAATCCATGCATGTAGTGTAATTTAAGATTTTATTTAATCTAAACAAATTTGTGTATATATTAAATTAGTTAGTTTTATTTGAATTACATTTATTCAATGTTTGCTAGAATTTTGGATGTAATTGGTTTGAATTTTGACCCTAATTTCACATATGCAAATATTTTCTAAGAATTTTATAACTTTAATTTCATGTTTTAGATAATCCTACATGCATCATGGATTTGGGGGAATTTAAGGTAAACAATTTCATGTTTTGAAGAGAAGAAGGAGGAAATGTTTTAAGAAAACCAAGTTTACGGAAATTTAGAATTAATCCTAAAGCTTTGATTTTATAATTAGATCTTTATTTAATCCATGCATGTGATGTAATTTAAGAATTCTATTCAATTTAGATACATTTTAGAACACCCATGTTTATAAATTAAGTTTTTGGTTAGAAATTGAGTTAAGTTGAATTTCTAAGAAATTGATTTGTGTAATTCATAGTTAAGTTGATTTTGTTATTCATAATAAAATTGGATCTATTTGTATTGCATACATCATGGAATTTCAAGGGGTTGGGAAGTCTAAATTATATCTCAGAATTGTGGGTTGACATTAATAAGATGAATTAAACCTAAATTTGGGCAATTGGAACATGATTTTGAATGAATGTTTTCTAATTGAAATTGTTTACTAAATCATACAGTGATTCTCCATTTTTGTGTACCAAAAACACATGTTTTGAAGTTTTGAATACCAAATTTGAATTTAAATTGCAATTTTGGAATTTCAAAATTTTCGTTGTCTGCTTGAGCGAGGAAAGTCTCGCTCAAGCATGAAAATCGAGCTCCCAGTAGTTTTTCAAATTTTACAGTCCGCTTGAGTGACCAAAGTGGTGCTCGAGCGGAGACCCATTTTCAGCTCATGCCCAAACTGACGTCTAAGCCAATCAGCTGAATGCTAGACTGTCGAGCCATATTGTAGCTCATCTTGGTCAGATTAAGCTAGGGACAGCGCCAAGCTATGTCAGCAGCAGACCTGTTGCACATCCATTCGCACCACCATCTCTCACTCAAGAAATCCACTAGTTGGTGGCGGAAGAAATAACCTTGAGTTAAGTACTCAGAGCAAGAGTCCACTACCTTCAGCTTATCCATAAGCCACACCTGGGAAGAGATGGAAAAAAAAAAAAAAAAAGAGACTAGGAAGTCAAGTTTGATCAATGGAGTAATATTGTATTTCAATGTGTATATGTTATGTGCTTGTGTAGGTTACGCGCCATTGTCTGCCTGATTTATCTGATATGTTCGGTCTATCTGATTTGCTTTTGCGGCTATCGGTGAGTAATAACATAGTAAAGTTATGTTCAACTATATTTATTTTCTGTGTGATAAAATGAGATCTGTTTTCTGAAATGGTATGTTCTGCACAATAAATGGTTGTCTAATTTCTGATATGTATTTGTGACATCCTTAGCATCATGTGATATTTGTTAGCTGTTACTCGGTATCGGAGGTTCCTTTACGGAACTTAATTTGTTAGCACTCTGTTACCCGTACCGGAGGCCCCGTCATGGGGGCTCAGCTTCTGTTCTGTTACCCGGATCCGGAGGTTCCTTTATAGAACTGGTTATTCGTAACCTCACGTGTATACGTTATGTTATGCTCTGTTCTGTTCTATTAATGCTAATGGATGTATCACGTAGACTTGCGCATGACTTATGATTTCTGTATATGATCTGGACAAATTATGAATTTGATACGAAACTAAAATATGATTTCTGAATCTGTACGGACTCGTTCATTAAAACCCTTTACTCTGTTATTATTCACTGGACTCTAGCTCACTATATTATTTATGTATGTAGGTGATCAGGCGCGTGACCAGGCTTAGAGGCATCTGCCTAGAATCTGTTTCTGTCAGCCAACCTATGTGCCTCCCGTGGAGGTTCCGGATGTGTCAAGCGTTTAGGGCTATGCGATTTAAAGTTTAAGTTTTGCTTTCTTGTTTGGTTAAACAAGTCTTGTGTATTTTGTAAATGGGGCTAAGTCCCTTCCTGCCTAAACTGTATATATATTATGACGTGAGGATGATGTGTATATATGTACATAAAAATTTTAAAATTTTTCTGTCTCATATAAGTCTGCACAACTCAATGGACGTTGTATATCGTTATTTGCTTCCACTAGCTGCTAATATTATCTTAATCTGTCTCAGAGGCCTTCGGTAATCCTAGGATTACTGGCCGGTTACGATGCTAAACCTATAGGGGCGGGTTTGGGTCGTGACATTAAGAAACAACTGGAACATTGATTTCTTATTGAAAATGATGGATCCAATTATAACAAAAAGTATAGCAAAGAGCTTTAGTTGACTACAATAGTCAAAAATCAATTTGATTAATATCTACCAATTAGTTATGTAAGTAGAGTTTCATAATGCTTTGCACAATAAAAAAAAATAGAGCAATGCTACAAATGGGAAATGGATGAAAACCTTTTTGTTCTTGTACGGTGACCCAACTTATGACAGACCAATAATATAACTTAAAACTTTCAGAGCATTGGTTTCACAATAATTCCAAAAATACATGATTTATACACAAAATATGCAAAAGTAGATTTGATTCTCAAAGCTACCAGTTCTAAGAAATTTTGGATATGAAGGCCCAAAAGAAATTGGACTGGCTTGAAAATATCTATTACATGACCAAAAAGGTCCCCTTATGAAGCACCGGTTTTGACCACCATTAAGCAACTTACATATTAATATCAGATAAACACACACACTCACACTGATATATATAGGTTTTAAACAGGTTTGAAAAATCAAAAATATAAGTTCATACAAAACAAATGCACATATACATGTCTAAAATTAAAGTTAAACTTATAAATTCGAGTTCGAGTTTAGCAACACGGAATGAATCGACCAATTGATGAACAAAGAGATCTAATAAAAACAGAAAATCAAAAGAGAGAAGCCAGATCTGAGTTAGAATGTATAAAATCTGTTAAATAAATAAAACCTAAACAAATTAAAACTCACAAAATTAATAGTCACATAGCAGAATCGTACATGAATAATCAACAAAAATCAACCTTGGAGTGCTTTACCCAACAATATAGCAATTGTACTTCATATATCTCAACAAATAACCAACAACTTTGTCCATGCTTTTTTCTGCATATTTCAAGTAAACCAACATTCTCAGTAATTTCATAAAGAAATCAAGTAGCTAGCAATAAGAAAATTTGCAAACCATGATGGACATCATAAGTTATAACACACAAAAATACAAGTTTACTCTAGGAATTATATAACCTCAAAAAATTTACTCTAGGAGGATCAAAAATAGAGTAATAGACTATTGTTTCCAAAAATCAAAATGTATAATGAGTAAACAAATGAGAAAGATCAAATCCATAGTACCTATTGAGCAACATTTATAAGAAGGAAAATATATATATATATATACCTATTGAGCAACATCACAGAGAACCATACTTTAAGCCCTTGAACTAGTGTTGTGTGATTTTGAGGCTATTGGATACACCTTTCAATCAGCAATAATATCTCTCAATCGGTACACCATTTCTTACCATTCATTAGCGACACCTCCTAGGCTCAAGGTCAGTGTTGCCAGAGAAACCTAAATGGAAAAAACCCATCCCAATGTGTGGATAAGAGTTACCAAAAATAGAAGGAAAAAAAAAAGCAAAAAAATGTTAGAAATCAGCTAAATCGAGTGGGAAAAAAGAAATGAATCTACAAAAGTTAATGTAAATACAACCCAGATCATTAGTTTTAAGCCATGAAAATATACATATTTTTTGTGAATTCAGTAAATCCCTAACCTTTGAGCCATGTCACACCCAAACACGAAGAAAAACAAGCCCTAAATCGATTTAGATTAACAGAGAATCAAACAATCTCAATGATAAATGCGCAAATCAAGTAAAGAACAAGCTTTACCAGATTAAAAGATGGAGAATCGACTGAGATCGAAGAATTAGGGCATCAAGGCATAGATCCCTCTCTCTCTCTCTCTCACTTTTTCTTTTTCTGAAGAAAAACAAGCCCTAAATCGATTTAGATTTACAGGGAGTCCAACAATCTCGATGATAAATGCTCAAATCAAGTGAGGAACAAGCTTTCAAGATCAAAAAGACAAAGAATCGATTGAGATCAAAGCACCAAGGCATCGATTCCGCCTCTATCTCTCTCTCTCTCTCTCTCTCTAAAGAAAAACAAGCCCTAGATCAATTTAGATTAATAGGGATTCGAACAATCACAATGATAAATGCTCAAATCAAGTGAAGAACAAGCTTTACAAGATCAAAAGGACAGATAATCGATTGAGATCGAAGCATCAAGACATTGAAGTCGCGACTCTCTCTCTTTCTCTTTCCAAAGTTGTGTCTCTCTCTCTCTCTCTCTCTCTCTCATCAATTTGGATTCCCTAGTTTTAAAAACAAAAAGTAAATTTAAAAAATAAATAAATCTTTTAATTAAACAAAACAACACCGTTTTATATAACACCACGTTTCAAAAATGTTGTCCTTTCATAAGGTGGATACAAAATGAAATAGTGTGATAGGCTTTCACATATTTTACGGCATTTTCAAAAAACACCACCCAAAAAAAAAAAACAAAAAAAAAAAAACGTGGCTATAACCTTTTTTTGTTGTAGTATATGTTTATAACCAGTTAGGCTTCTCTTTGCCTTTATTTTTTTACAAATTTTCATTTGTCATGTTGTTATCAACAAGAGAGCATTCTAAGCTTAATGAAGCAAGTCTATACTGGTGACTCTACAAGCAACCATGTAGTTGATGGAACAAAAAGTCTTCAACTCTCTCTCTCTCTCTCTCTCTCTAAACGGGTTCTCTTTGAAGATGGAGCAAGCCAGAAATGGAGGATGGATTCTGGTAGTCAGTCAGTGGAAAGGTAGTAAAGGGCAAGGCAAGGAGGCAATGCATGGTCTTCATAGTGTCTTTGTGGACAATATTCCGTTAAAAATGGATGTTAAATCTCTCTTCAAGCTCTTCACAAAGTTTGGTATAGTGAAGGATGTTTTCATTCCTTTTAAAAGAAGGAAAGTGTCAAACTCTAGATTCGGATTTGTAAGATACGACTGCTATGTAGCATCAGATATAGCCATTCAAAAAGCTAATGGTCTTCTGGTGGATGACAAGGTTCTAGTTGTCAAAAATGCCACTTTTGATAGAAGAAGCAGAAAGGAACATAGCAGAAAAACACCTCTGTTCATCAGGAAAACTCAGCACATCAGAATAGATGGAGTAGCCAACAGATTCATGTGAAAGTATTGCAAGGGGTATCTTCCATGGAAATTGAGAAAACAAGTTCCATCTTAAAAGTTACTGATGAGGGTAATGGTTGGCTCCTTGGAGTCGTCATAATCCGCCTTAAAGATGAATACTCTATCCTCAACATTACCAAAGCTCTGTCGGAGAAAGGTTTGGAGCATATTATGGTCAAAAAAAGGGGAGGTCGCGATATTATACTAACTTTCAACTCTCAAGATAAGATGCAATCAAACATTGGCAATCTCAAGGAGTGGTTCAAGGATTGGAGTCAATTTGTGGTGGAATGGAAGTCTGGGTTTCATATGGATCAAGAGGTGTGTGTGGTTGACGTGCTTTGGCATACCCCTGCATGTTTGGAATCGAAACACTCTAAATGCCATTGGAAGCTTATGGGGATCTGTACTCAACCTAGAGGGTGATATCTGTTAACCAAAAACTTTCTCCCATGCTAGAATTAGAGTCGTTACTTCATCTATGGAGTTAATTCATAAAACCTTGATCTTTGAGTGCAAGGATAAATCATCTTCCATTTTTGTGTGTGAAGATCATCTACCAGATTTAGATAGTTTGAAGCTTAATGGTATAGATGGTTATAGCTTCCTTGAAACCTGCTGCAGTGCAGAGGGTGGGAACAATCCAGTGGTTGATGATAAGGAAAAGGGAGATGATGTTGAGGTGGCTGAGACCAGTGCCATGTTCAGTGCTGGGATTGCTTGCACAAATAAGGTAGCACAGAGAAATGCAACTTCGGACTGTCATTCAGGAAAAGAGGTGGACACAGTGGTTGAAGAGACAACTTGCTTTGGAGGCTCTTGTAGAGAAGGAGCTTGTATTGAGGAGTCTTTGATGGATAAGACAGCATATAGCTCACAAAGCAATCATGATAGCCCAAGGTGTGCTGAACAACTTTATACATCTGGTTTTATTCGAAGCCTCAATGAGTCCAGTGCAGGAGTTGGACTTGGTATCAATTTGGAAGTGGTTTTGGCCTAGTTACCAAATTAGAATTTTTTTAGTGGCCCCTCAAACAGGCCTAATGAGCCTAATGTCATTAGTCCAACTAATTCAAATTCTTTAGCCCCTTCAAGGAAGTTCTATTGTGGGCCTCCACTCAGTAATGGACCTTTTAGAAGAAATATATTGTCCCACCTACAATCAAACGAAGATATAACTTTTGCCTCCATTCAAGAGCATCTACGGATTAAGAGGAAAAAAGGGAAAATGAAGACACAGATTGAGGGGTTCACTAGCTTTGCTAGATTCCATGCATACATTACTAATGCAGCCGAGAAGCACTCCACTAAGCTTGTTGTTTTCAGGCCTGCAGCTACTGCTATAGCTCACTCAGATTTATCAGAGGCAGACTCTTTTTTGAGGAATCACTTAATCACAGAAGCAGCAGCCACTATACAATTGGGGAAAACTCTAGGTATCAATTATAATGGGAAAGAAGATGATGTTCTTAGCAAAATTATTGGTCTAGAGCTCAAGGACAAGGAGAGAATTGGCAAGGAGGGAAAGACACAGCAATAAATGGTTGTAGCTCGGTGATTTGAGTGTTTCAATTGGTTTTCTATGAAGCTTTTATCTTGGAATATCAGGGGTATGGGAAAGGCAGAAAATCAAGGAAGAATAAAAAAACTCATAAAGGATAGACACATAGATGTTGCTTTTTTTCAAGAGACCAAAAAGGCAATATTATCAGATATTGTTGTTCGCAGGTTATGAGGGAGTAGAAATATGGAGTTTATGTCTGTTGATCCTGAAGGAACAACTAGACGGCTTTTATGTATTTGGGACCCTGCTGTCTTCACTCTCTCTGGCTGCTGTTGCAATATGAGGTTTATTATACTCTATGGTCTTTTATACAATTCCTTTGAATGTGTTCTGCTCAACATTTATGCACCTAATGCTGTTAACTTTAGATCCTCTTTCCGGGATAGTCTCTTAAAGCTGAAAGCTTATTTCCCTTATCCTTGGTGCGTGGGGGGTGATTTTAATGAAATTAGACATATGAGTAAAATGGTAGGTTGCTCTACGAGGGATAGGGGAATTAAACATTTAAATGAGTTCATAGACAAATTTAAGCTCCATGATTTACCTCTACTTGGAAGAAAATACACCTGGTGTAATGCACAGGAATTAGAAAAATGGAGCAGAATAGATAGAATCTTGATTAGCCCTGAATGGTTAATTAATTTCACTATGAAACATTAGGGATTGCCTAGATTAATTTCAGACCATTGTCCCTTGCTGATGAAGGAGGATGACCGAGATTGGGGGCCTAAACCTTTCAAGTTCCTTAATGCTTGGACTCTCCATCCCAATTTTTCCCAGCTCTTTGTTACTTTTTCGTCAAATACTACCTTTGAGGGTTGGTCTGGATTCATTCTTCTACAAAAGCTCAAGCATTTTAAGTTGATTCTAAGATCTTGGAATATTGAGGTGTTTGGCAATATTCACTCTAAAGTTAAGTCATTGGAGGAAGAGCTACATGTTTTGGACATCATTGCAGAGGATAGGCCACTGGCAGATTCAGAAAAGGCAAGAAGAAGAATGGTTAGAGGAGAGATTTGGAAACTATACAAAATGATGGAGTGGATATGGCATCAAAAATCCAAACTGAACTGGACTCTTAATGGGGATAAAAACACTAAGTTCTTCCATGTTGTTGCTAGTACCAAGCAGAGCAAGAATTTAATTACATCTATTTCAGTTAATGGTGTGTCTTTTGAGGAACCTACCCGAGTCAGGCAACAAGTTTTACAACATTTCAAGACTTTATACACTGAATCATGGGTACAGAGACCTACTTTGGGAGGGGTGTTTAATACTATTGAAACAATTATGTATCTCACCATTTGGTAGCTAAGTTCAGTGGAGCTGAAGTTCTAGCAGGAGTTAAAGATTGTGATCACAACAAAGCTCCGGGTTCTGATGGTTTCAATCTATTGTGCTATTAGAAATTTTGGAATGTTATAAAGCCAGACATAATGCAATTTTTCAAGGAATTTCACTCCAATGGCAGGCTTACTTATGGCATTAACAGCACATTTATAACTCTCATTCCCAAGTTAATAAATCTAGTTGGTTTGTCTGACTATAGACTTATAAGTCTAGTGGGATCCATCTACAAAATCTTGGACAAAGTTCTCTCACACAGATTGAAATTAGTGCTTCCCTCAATCATTGGTGAAACTCAGGTTGCATTCATAGGAGGGCGGAATATTCTTGATAGGGTGTTCATCGCTAATGAAGTGGTGAATGGTTGGAGGAAGGCCAAAAAGCAAGGATTGATTCTTAAATTGGACTTTGAGAAAGCTTTTGATTCTGTCAATTGGGAATTTCTCTTCTCTTTGATGACCAGTTTTGGCTTTGGGGACAAATGGATCTCTTGGATGAAAACTAGTGTTTCTACAACAAGAATCTCCATTCTAGTGAATGAGTCACCTACTCAGGAATTCTCCCCCCAAAGAGGTCTTAGGCAGGGTGATCCACTTTCATCTTTTCTTTTCAACATAGTGTCTAAAGGGCTTAACATCCTTCTAGTTATAGCACTTAATCTTGGTATTCTTAGTGGTGTGGAAGTTGGGTCTAATAATGTTCTTATATCTCATTTGCAATTTGCTGATGATTCCATTTTATTTTGTGAAGCAAATTCGGATCAAGTGACATCTATTAAAAGAATCCTCAGATGCTTTGAAGTACTATCGGGCCTCAAAATTACCTACCACAAGAGTGTTGTGTGTGGTGTTGGTGTGACTGAAGATATTTTGATTTCTTTTGCCAATCTTTTCAATTGCAAGGTGCAGAGCCTTCTTCTAAAATTTCTGGGGTTGCCTTTAGGTGCTAATCCAGGCAGAAAATCTACTTGGAAGCCTGTTATTGACAAAATCAAATCAAGGCTGTCTTGGTGGAAAAGGAAATTGCTATCCTTTGCAGGTAGATTAACCTTGATCAAATCTACTCTGTCCAGCTTACCTGTTTACTTTCTCTCTTTATTTAAAATGCCTGAAGGAATGGCTAGAGAAATAGAAAAGAGTGAGGCTGCTTTCTTATAGGGTGGTAGTGATCTCAAAAGAAAATTTCATTTAGTGAATTGGGTGGAGGTCAAAAAGAGTCTTGATCAAGGGGGTTTAGGCATTAGAAGGGTCAGCGATGTTAATGATTGTCTACTACTCAAGTGGTGGTGGAAATTCGAAACCCAAGTCAGTGCTCTTTGGAGGAGAGCTATCTGCAATAAATATAAGATTAATGAAGATTCTTGGCATCCTCCATTGAAGTCCTCTTACAAACACTCTAGATTATGGAGTGACATCTAATCAGTTGGAGCTTCTAACAAGCCTATTTCTAATTTCTTTTTGGACAATTGCATCATCAAAGTGGGGAATGGTCACAAAATCAGTTTCTGGTCTGATAGATGGGTTGGAAACCTCTTCCTAAAGGCTGGTTTTCCTATCCTCTTTAATCTTTCAACTGATCAAGAAGGCTCTCTCTACCAATATTTTGCTAGAAAATCAAGCCCTTGTGATTGAAATCTCCCCCATAGAAGAGAGTTGTATTCTTGGGAATTGGCTGAAGAAGTTAGACTCAATGTTGTTTTATCCTCAGCTCCTTCACTGTGTTTGGATTTTGCAAATTGTCTGGTCTGGTCTAATAATTCTACAGGCCATTTCTCTGTCTCAGCCCTCTACTCTCACAGTTCTTCTTTACTTGGTCCCCATATCAAAACTTGTACGTTTATCTGGAACTCTCTATTGCCCCCCAGAGTTTCATTCTTCTGTTGGTTGACTTGGAAAAATAGGATTAAATGCTTAGACTTTCTGCTCAGGATTGGTGTTCTAGGCATCAATGTCTCATCCCTCTGTTCATTTTGCAATTCTGAGTTGGAATTTGCCACTCATGTCTTGATTTATTGTCCTTTCTTTTGGTCAGTTTGGTCTGCAATGATTGAAGAGTGAGGATTTTAGTGGTGCATTCCTAAATCAATTGAT